ACTTAGGCAAACAATGCAACCCTATTGAGCCACTCATATTAAAAGGCGGTTAAACAGGAACACGTAGAAATACATAAACATGTTTAACAAGTAAGTCCTGAGAGCTATCAGAAATTAATGGAAGCTCAAATAAGAAGCAAATCTTTAATATCTTAATATTTTCCTTAAATTTTTTGAATCCTAAGAAAATGTCAAAAAAGTAGGAGGTACACAGATTTAATATTTCACCAGTGACTTCCACAGAGCCAGAAACAGGATTTATAAAGAACCCAAGTGCTATAATTTTCATTAATAGTGGAGTTATATGGTAATTACATTATTAGCATTGCATTATTGCTTACTACTGCTACTGCCTATATCTCTTCATTATACTCCTGAGCATCATGAACTGAAAAAAACAATAGAAACAATAGCAATATCATCTGATTAGCAATGGGCAGATCAGTCCTGGAACACAGCACTTTATACATGAGGCAAAAAAAGTCTTTGGATTATCAATATTCTAGTAAAATTTCCATAACTAAAAGGAGTAGGATGAATGTATACATTTTAATAACCTTGGAATGACCAATTTAGCTGATGTCAATATATATTTGGAGGCTATTGTTATTTTGAATTTTCTCGTATCTGTTTAACAGCCCTGTACAAAGAGAAAATAAATCAAGCATGTGGTCAAGACTAGTGGGCATTCACATTCAGACAATTTGTGTATTCTTACAAATGTGTTTAATTACAACTGCTTCAAAAGTATCCCAGGTTTTCAAAAGTTTATTTTAAGTTTGAAGACTAGACAAGGTCATACTGATATTACAACATCCTACATGATATAAGTATATATACAAAGAAAAAACAACATTGGGATATTACACAGCTTGAAAGTTTGCAAAGGTTATTTGTGTCATAGTTATTTCTGTACTTGCTGACACATCAGATGCCAGAATTGAGTATTATATTTCATAATTTGTTGACTAGCAAAGATATAATCGTTAGTACCCCAAATCTTCAAAATTCACACCAATCTTTATGAAGTCATTCAGAAAGAGAAAGTCAACCCTAAAATTAGAATTAATGACTATAATAAATGCTTTTAAAAGGATGTAGATAAAATGGAGATGCTTAAAATTTTAATTTCATAAATTATAAAATGAGCATGTGATAGTTACTCAATATAGTGAAGACTAGGTGATTCTTTTGTGTATTCTGCTTATGGTATTTTATTTGTTTTAGTGTGAATTTATATGGAATAAATTTTACTTCTCTTTGATGTCATTGATACACGTGACGCAAGAGCTACTTTATCACTTCACAATAATTATCAGTATTTACACATGTGGGAATCCTTTGCTGTCATCAATTTTGGGCATCACGGGACAATAGATATCCCACTGGACATGCTGTCTTGTGAAGAGCATATAAAGCAAAGAGAAAATGTAAAAGCAAGAGAACGCCATTTCAACGTCTTTCTAAAAGACATTGAATTTTAACCAACTTCCGTGGAAAATATTTTTTAAACCGCTATCAGTAGAAAAAAATTCAAAACATCATATAAAGACATCAGTAATTTTGAAAAAGTAAATCATCACAAAGCATCACTCATAATTTTAAAAATATCCTCTTAAGAATGAAGAATCATGCATAATCTGCAAAGGAAAACAGCTAGAAATTTGGTGGGACAGTAAACCTTGGAAGAAATGAGGACAACTGGCTAGATGGTAAGTGTGTATATTTGTGAAACTAAGTAATTATTTGTCACATGTCTTTAAAGTTTAGCCGATTAAAAATGTTTTAAATTCCTAACTTCAAATTTATTTAAAAAAGGCGATACTGACAACATAGAAATTTTGTTTTTGAAAGATGTTGAAAACTGATCATCATTTCAGAGGCTTCAAATCAATAATTTCAAAATGAGAACCTGAAGTAGAAAGCATGGGGCATGGAACGAACATGTGGCCAGCTAGTTTCTTAGACCAACAAATTTTGCTTTTATTAAAAATGCCGATATGATTGACTTTCTCTTTAAATTCTTCACTGTGATTGAAGACCACTCCATATATACATCATTAAGAAATGCTGTTAACACATGAACAGACGAGACAGTAACAGTCTAGTGGCTTTTGTTATGCAGCACAAATATTAAAGGAAAAAAAACTTAGCAGTGTTGCGTAGGACCTTAACATTTCATACACATACCATCCTTTCTTTTCCAAGACCCTTAATTTAAAACTCCAATAATTCTGTCTAAGCCTTATAAAATAAATACTTGTAAAGCTTATAAATTAGATGTTGAAGACATTTACGGAGGCAATGTGAGCTTTAATTTGAGAGACATGTCAATGAAACCTCCATTGTCAATAACAAATTGTTATGATAATTGCTTATTTTTGCTGGCCCTTTGAAACAAAATAAATAGAAATATATTTTCATCTTGAAAATGGTTTACTACTTTGTCATTAGTAAATACTCTGCTGCTCACAAATAACTACACAATGTGCTTTCCTGGGAAACTACTACCAGTTTCAAATCTCAATAAAATTTTAATTTCATAGGAAATGTGAAGATAAAGAAATGATGAGTATGCTTGGCCAAGTTATGCAGTACTATGTTAGTATTTGCTAAAATTTTTAAAAAATAGACAATTCATGATTCTATTATTTTAAGGTAAATATAAAGCTATGTAAATACCATTAAAATGAAGATTTAAATTGAAAGGGATATAATACATTATTTTGTTGTTCCTTTTGCAAACTGGTAGTATGGGATTCTTTATAAATAAAGTATTTGGAAATTATGTAGTTCCTTCAAAATCAAATTGCAGATTTAATATACTGATATTAAATGCAGACCCATCTACTGATATTCAATCATGTTCCATGTTTATAAATAAAATGACACTTCTCTCAGGAAACTAATAGGAGAAAGTTAATAGGAAAAATATTGAGTTATTCAGGCAATATGGAATATAAAGAATATAGAATAGAAGCAAAAGAAAAAAGGTCATATAATCTCTGATTAGAAATAATGAAAGTAAACTGAGAATTATATCAACTAGTACCTCATGTTACAGATTCTTCTTCAAATTTTTGTTATAAACATGGACAGTGTTTGATAGGCACAGGGAAACAATTAGGATAATGTAGAGTCAATACAGAAGAAAAATACCTTATTGCTAACATTGCAGTATTCCTTTGATAAGAATTAGTTGAGTATTGATTGTAAAAACTCTATCAACTCTTGCTTGTATTTGATGACTTTGAGATTTATTTACCCTTGCTATAAAAAGAAGGCTACTTTCTTTCCCTAATATATTTCAACCAATGTGAATAATTCAGAAAACAATGAGGAAAGTAATTCACAGTTAATGTGATGTTACTTAAGAGACTTGACCAATAAAAATCAAGTTAAATCATTGAAAAGGCAGGCTTAGACCTCCTTAAAAAGACAGTGGCCTACCATAATTGTGAGCACTTTTTCATGAAAAAAATCCATTCGGTTTCCTACAGATTTTGCACAGTTCATTCCATGGAAATACTTCTAGGGAAATAGAGAAGAGGGTTGTGGGATGTAGAGTTTCCTCATTCCTCCTCCGTGCAGCCCAGCAGCTCTGACCGCAATGTGATTCTCCCGTACCAGGACCAAGGAAGGATTCTTATGTGCCGTGCATAGATGGGAGGGTCAATGACGTTTTTCCTGTGGGTGTCATTGTCAAAATTGCCCTGGAAAACCTAATAAAGAAGAGCAAAAAAGGTCAATCACATACACTTTTTTCCTTTGGAATTATTTTTTTTTTCTTGTTTGAAACATTTTCCCCAAATGTGATGTTTGATAACTATTCATTTTTGTTTTTTCTGAATACATTGCAGCTTCTTTTTAATGATAATTTTAAATTATCAGTTAATGCCTAATTTAAAGAGTTAAATGAAGCAAAATTGTCTAATGCAGGAATACATAAGTCTACCATTTTTGTCTCTCTGCTTCTCTCATTTTTTTTTTAAATGCAACAGATATTCATTGTTTTGCTTATGCCACAGGCTGACATTGGTCTGTCAGGTTGCTGAAGGTGTTTTCTTACAAGGAGTCACTCAGAGATCCAAGCTGCTTGCAAAGTACACTCATCGTCTGGAGCATGTGGCTTCCACATTAAAAAGCTGCAAGGAGAGGGAGAGTTGGTAGATTGTGCAGGATGTTTTAAAGAACAAGTATGGGCCGGGCATGGAGGCTCACGCCTGTAATCCTAGCACTCTGGGAGACTGAGGTGGGTGGACCGTTTGAGCTCAGGCATTCGAAACCAGCCTGAGCAAAAGCGAGAGAGACCCATCTCTACTAAAATAGAAAGAAATTAGCTGGACAACTAAAAACATATAGAAAAAATTAGCCGGGCATGGTGGCACATGCCTGTAGTCCCAGCTACTCGGGAGGCTGAGGCAGGAGGATCACTTGAGCCCAGGAGTTTGAGGTTGCTGTGAGCTAGGCTGATGCCACGGCGCTCTAGCCTGGGCAACAAAGTGAGACTCTGCCTCAATATAAATAAATAAATTAAATAAAATAAAAAATAAAGAACAAGTATGGAAGCAGCTTACATCATTTCTGTATATCATTTCTCAATACCTTTTTGCTTACTTCTTGTCACATAGAGAATAAAATTAACCCATCCACAAAGAAGGCAACCCAATCAATGCTCTTTTTGAACTACTTTTTTTTGCTTGCTCTATTAATTCCTAGATCCGTACAATACTGTTGTGATCATTGTCACTTATCATATCTTGCTTTGCATTGCTTGACTATTCTCCTTCTTTCTTCTTTTGTTAAACATCATTTTTGAGTCTTTAATAGCCATTTCTTCCCCTTTAAAAAACTTTTATAATAACTTAAACAAATGCCCGCTTCAGAAAAACAAAATTAAAACACTGGGATCTCATTAGAAATGGCGTTAAATTATAAATTATCTGGGGAAAAACTGAGGTTTTTATATTATTTAATCTTTACTTGAAGATTTTACCAGTATTCTCCCATATAGATTCTGAACATTTCTTATTAAAGTCATTTCTAACTATTTTATATCTATATTTTTGTTTTAGCTTAACTAGGATTGTGAAAATCTCTTCAAGGTTTTCTCTTTTAATTTTATGAAGCATCTTATAATTGTAAGATGATTTTCTTTCTTGTTTGTGATCCAAACATAACATAACTATGTGGCCAAAGGGAGACCTGAACATGAAATTCTCAAAAATTAAAAAAAAGAAACTCCATCGTCACATGACAGACTGCTTAACCCACATCTTTGAACATTTTGAAATTAAAGATAATGTTTTAAGAATGGCCTCCTAAAATAAGTTGGTTCAGTCTTGTGTGGTTACAAAAGGTCCCCTGATTGGAAAGAGAAAAAATAAAGGCAGTTTTCTCTAAAGCATTAGACAGTATGGCTCTGATTAATAGAAGAAACAGACAAGGTTGCTAGCCTTTCTGCTGGTGCTGCTGGTTCTGCTGGCATATCTAAATTCGTGTTCATTTAATGGGCATTTTATCACCAGGAATGCTCTGTCCTGCATTGACCAAAGAAGAGCTCATTCTGGATTGGAACGTGTTACTAAGTAACAGTGCCTCTGTCAGCAAAAGCTCCTATGTACAGGGCACACAATGAAAACACCAAAAATCTTGAGAGAGGTTGTCATTGCAAAGGCAGAAAATAAGCTCTGGTTTGCTGGCATTCTCTCTGACATACGATGCTAGATTGAAGTGCTTCACTGAGATTGTGGTGTTACAATTGAACATGGAATCTAAAGTACAATTTTGTAGCCCTGCTAGTCAGCTTAATATATATCCTTGGGATAATAGAGTTTAAATTCATTAACTTTCATTGCGAGATCTATAACAGCCCAAAATATAGTTTGATACCACGTTTGGGAAGAAATGTAGGAAGAAACAGTTTTCTCGTGTCTGCTCTTCAGCACAGGTTTCGATAAGGAACTATCAACCCAAAAAGCATTAGTTGAATTATTGGTGATACTTATTTTTTTATAATGAAGAACATATGCAAAGAAACTACATTAGCTCTGAAATTGCATACAACTATGAAATTTCTGAATTAATATGTGAAAATCATAGATATTTGGATGCTCATTTTAAGAAAATAAGTGAAGTTTCATAAAACAGGATAATTTATAAAACAAAAGTACCCCCAGAAAAATACCCCAAATCTATACTGAAATCACCCAATCCATGGTCTAAAAGTATTGAAAATACACTCTAATTTTCCGAGGTTTCTCACTAACGACGCAGCACAGAACAAAGCACACACTCGCCAACTCTGGGATGACGTCCTGTACTTGTTGTGTAAACGTGTGGCACATGTGCACTCTCTTGTCTCCAGCATTAGGAAGACCCTGCTCAAGAATGCTATTTCAATATTTTGCCTGCCAAAGGAATGCAAACACAGTATTTTTAGTTAACTTCATAAAATCTGTAAGATGGTAGAAAAGTGCTTTCACATGCACACTTTAGAGATAGAAGCACCTCGACTTAAATTGAAGTCTGAAAAGACTAATGGAGAACATGAGATCTCCATCTAAAAGGAAAAATATTTATATGAGAAAGACACAGTTTGATTTAGAAATTTTTACAAAAAGTATGCACAAGTTTCCATTTAGGGAGGAGGATAATTAGCCCATGACAAATTTGCTGATGTATTCAAACATAATAATGCTTACGGGTCTCTCAGGCTGTTCCTAACATATGGGGCCTGAAGAAAAAGGCACCCAAGGTACTTTGGAAAGGCTTCCATAATTACAACCAAAGAGAAGATAAGAGAGAAAAATATGACTCCCTCAATGTAGCTGAGATCTTGAATTTTGTTTTCACATGTTAACTCCCCTGTGATGCAAAATAAAATTCAAATCGGATTCTAGTGAGGATTCATATATCAGATATTATAAGAGAATGTCAGATAAAATAAAACACTTAAATGTTGCTTCCAGCAATATTTTTACATTTTTTGTAAAACAGCACTTGTCATTCTGTGTTAGGGACCAATGTCTATTCAGGCCAGTGCAGACGTCATCAATAGGAGGCTGCCAAGGACGACGGAGGAAGGGAGGATTATCCTCCATGACAATCAGAGAGGTGGGAATATCTCAGCTGCTTTTAGTGGTTATGAAATAGGGCTCTGAATATCAAAGAATTCTTTGGGGATTTCTTGCACATACTATTTCTTTAGAAAATTATCTCGTTCGTGAAGATGTACTTCTTTTTATTTGTCCTAAACTGAACTCATTAAAAGTTTTAAAGAGATTCCCATTGTTCTAACCTTTTGGAACTTACGTTCAGACTGTCCAAACAGCGAGTGGTTGTCAGCAATTTTATATAGCCTCCCTTAGCTCTTCAAGCCTAAACAGTGAGTATTTTAGTGAGATCTCAAGTGACTGCCACTTCATCCCTCTGGCCTTTTGATTGTCCCCATATAGATTTCATTATTTCTCTTCTGATATGTGGAGACTAGAATCACATCTAGGATTCCAGATATTGTGGAAATACAAAGATGAAAGAAATGTTCTCAAGTTTTGTCTGTTGTTCACATTTGCCTTCTTAGTGGTATCTGGTATACCATTGGCTTTATTGACTATACCTGTACACTGACCTGGTGTGCTTAAGGAATAGAGGACAAAGATCAAAATCCATTTCCCTAGGGCAGCATATATGTGTGTTTGTGTGTGTGTGTGTGTGCAAGGTGGGGGATGACAGCTAAGAATTCTTTATTTAGTACACATAATTGCAATTATTTATCCTTTCATACTGAGTGCTTTTAGAGAAGTTAGATAAGAACAGTCTTTTCTAGCTCTGATCCCTGTGAAACCCTGTTTTTATCTAATTTTACCCATATAATGAAAGAATCTGAGACTTGGAAGAGAACTCAGAGATCTGCTGGCATCAGCTTCCCTCTCTAATATTTATGACATGGAACTTTCAGCCTATTCAAAGCAAGCTTCAACAGATTAGGGTACGTATGCATTTGGACAGTTTGCTATCTTTTTATTAGGCTGAACTATATCTCTCTAACTTCAATGTATTAATCCTAGTACTTTATTCTCAATGAGCATAAGACAAATCTAACTCATTGAAAGAACCTTTGACATACTTCACAATAACTAACACAAACCTCTCAAAAACTCAAATTCAATCCTCCAGGATAAACATTTATGGTTCCTTAAAAAGTTCCTCATGTTAGATGATTTTCAGACTTGTCACCATCTTGATTGTATTCCATTAGATACCCTCTGGTTTAACTATGAATCAATGAAACTGTGGTATTTATTTGGACGTAGAATGTGGTTCATATGATGAACAGCTCAAAACATAGAGTGCACTTTTGTTGTGAATGGAAACTTCCATCAATGAAGTCTAAGATTTAAAACTATTATATTACATTTTGGGTTATAGTAGATTGATTTATGGTCAAATAAACTCTACTTTTTTCATAGAATTTCTCTTAAGCCAGGATTTTCTCATTTTTTTACTTGAATCTGTTTTATAAAGTAACTATTTATACATCATGTGAATATAAAATCTGAGTTTTGGGGTGACATAAAGGACAGATGTTTATTAGCTTGTGGTTCAGCATCATAAAACTCATTTTTATAAGCTTAGTATCAACATTACTTAAATTTTTTAGACAGTCAAAAATTTAAAGTTACAACTTGAATCAATGCTTTAAGTGATTTAAAGTCTTATG